CCCCAAAACCCCAAAACCCCAAAACCCCAAAACCCCATTTTTGCTCAGAAATATTGATTAAAAGTTCCACTCTTTTTTATCTGTCTTAGGGGGTTCATGCGAGGTCAGGTTTAAAGCCACTGGCTTCCATTCCCCATTCATCTTTGTTTGAAGGTCTATGTGTGTAGGGTAGGAAAGAGTCAGATTAGAGGTCGACTAGAAGTTCAGGGTATTTCAGGTAGGTTTTTGTAGAAGGAAAATTGAAGTTTTGGGAAAAGAGAGTTCAAAATAAGACCTTACCCTTGTCAATATCCGGCCTTTGTGTTGGCTTAGTGGGTTCTCTGTCAGGATCGTTGGCTTTTTGGGTAAGAGGCTGGTTGGGAGGTTTAGTGGATATCGCTTTATGGGAAGAGATGTTAGCTTAATTGGATCGAAATTCTAAATTTTCAAAAATTCTGTAAAATCCCTCAAGGCTGAGGCCAACTCTGTTTTAAGGTTACCTTGGTTCTGTGCAGAGGTATTCTCTTGCCCAAACGCCTCTAAATCTTTGAAACTCTTGTGACTACTAGCCCCAAAGTTAAGCAAAGTGTTCGTAGAGGTGCAGAAAGCAAACCTGAACTTGTTCTGAACGAACTCGTGCTGAAGAGTTGTGTTTTTGAGGTTAGAGATAGCCTGCTCCTCGAGTTTTTCTAGGCTCTTCATTCTTTCATAGTTCTTATTAGCCTCTCGCTCTTCTCGCTTCATTCTGCCAAGGTAGCGATTACGAGCAAGCGTTCTCTGCATCTTCACTTCGTGATTCCTGATAGAGTCTATATGAATCAGGATTTTGGATTACTTCTTCTCCGCTTCTGGCTTTTTATTAAGGAAACATTCCTTCGTGAGGAGTCAAATGCATTGGACAGTTCTCTTTCGAGCTTATTTCTGCTCGAAAGTCCGATCTATCTGGACCTTATCAAATCTATAATTTTAGCAAGGAATTACTTCTTTTGCAGCCACACTTTCTTCTTCTGACTCTCGATGTTCTTAGAAATCTGCTTACGTAGGTTCGAAATCCTTCGACGGTTTGATTGGAGTAACTTCTCCTTCTTATTCTGATTCTGTATCTTCTGCTTCTTATGCAACATTTTGAAATCCATTACATCAGCAAGCTTGACTCCTAGCTTCCTGGTTTGCTCCATTTTGCTTCGAATTCTGTAGGGGTAAGAATAAGCGTACTTTTGTTCCTCCCTGATTAGCTTCTGGATTCTGTTTTCCAACTTTTGAATCCCATCTTCGGAAGTTTTATTTATGCTGATGGATTTCTAAGGATTTCTCCCCAAATATCTCACTTTCGTTCTTTACCATAGACTTCTTCTGCTCTCGCTCTGAGTTGTACTGAGTGCGAGTCAGAGGGCTTAATGGGCTCCTACTGATAGAAGTACTTATGTCTAAACCAAATTAGGATCTATTTTCTGTTAAAATTAAACAAATTGTTACATAGCTTCGGACCATCATGAGGATATTATTATTTGTCTTTGAAACTCCAACTGAGATGTTAAGAAGCATCATGGAGCTATTAAGCACACTTACTATGACTTCTCTTGACTTTTTCCCTTTCGTATGGTGAATTGTTGTCTATTAATTCTCTATTGAAATGCTTACTGGCATATCACCTACAAATAATCAGTTTCCTCGGAATGATAAAACCTCGGAGATGCTAAAACTTACTTTGACAAAGTCGGGATGTCATTAAAATACTGATTCTTACGAGCTGAACGATTCCTGCTCTGAAGTTTATTCATTACAATTATTTTTCTATAAAAATTAATAAAAATGGGGTTTTGGGGTTTTGGGGTTTTGGGGTTTTGGGG